TAATTCAATGAATTTGATTCCCCATTGTTTCACTCCCTACCCCAAAGGGTCCTGATTTGAACAAATTTAAATCTTCAATACATGAAGATGCTTACATGTCAATATGACCAAATATATAGCTTTTCTGTTAAATCTTAGGATTTTCCCCTTTATTTTCCTAATGTAACACTGTAATCCACCATTGAGACCCCACCCTATCCTTGGGGTTATGATTTGAACAAATATATAATCATACACTATCTGAGGATGCTTCATAATAAAAATATCACTATATTATCATGTTTTTGCTATTCTTGAGAAGAACATTTTTTTAAAATAAATTTTAATTGGATCCCCCATTGTGGCCCCACCCTACCCCTGGGGGTTATGATTTGAACAAACTAAAATCTACACTTATACCTGTGGATGCTTCCATATAAATATCACTAATCATGGCTTTGCAGTACCTGAGAAGATTTTAAAAGATTTCCCTACACATTCCTATGTAAAACTTTGATTGGCCATTGTGGCCCCACCCTACCCCCGGGGGGTACACTACCTGAGGATGATTTCACATGAGTTCATCTTTAATTCCTGTCTCAATGGTTCCTGAGAAGAAGATTTTTAAAGATTTTTCCTATATATATTCCCATGTAAAAATTTGATCGGGCATTGTAGCCCCATCCTAACCCCGGGGGTCACGATTTGAACAAATTTAAATCTACACTACCTGAGGATGATTTCACACGAGTTTCATCTTTCCTGTCTCAATGGTAAATCTTGAGAAGATTTTTAAAGATTTTTCCTTACATATTCCTAAGTTAAAATTTGATCAGCCATTGTGGCCCCACCCTAACCCCGGGCGTCATGATTTGAACAAACTTGAATCTACACTACCTTAGGATGATTCAACATAAGTTTCATCTTTCCTGTCTCAATGGTTCTTGAGAAGAAGAATTTTTAAAGATTTTTCCTATATATTCCTTAGTTAAAATTTGATCAGCCATTGTGGCCTCACCCTAACCCTGGGGGTCATGATTTGAACAAATTTAAATTTACACTACCAGAGGATGATTCCAGATGAGTTTCATCTGCCCTGGCCCAGTGGTTCTTGAGAAGATTTTTTAAAAATGCCATTTATTTAATTTTCACAAATTCATAATTATCTCACCTTGGAAGAGGGTGTGGCCCTTCATTTGAACAAACATAAATCCCCTTTACCTAAGGATACTTTGTGGCAAGTTTGGTTGATATTGGCTCAGTAGTTCTTGAGAAGAAGATGAAAATGTAAAAAGTTTACAATTACGACTACAGAAAACGGAAAAATTTTGATCAGAAAAGCTGACTCTTGAGCCTTCAGCTCAAGTGAGCTAACTAAAAATCCGTTATGAATTGATTCTATATACACTGTATTTCTTTCAAGGAAATTTCTCTTCTTTTTTCAAGGTCATAGAAACCTTGGAGAGGTAGACCCCCCATATTTTGCCGATATAATATACCGGTATAATTATATGCTGTACAAAATAGAAAACATGACTTTTTTGCCCCATGGAACATGTGAAAAAAAGAAGAACATAATTATTTATAATAACTATTAGTTATGGAATCCGGATTGGGCCATTTAGTTCAATACAATAAAATATACATGCAATATATTGATTTTTACATAAATTATATCTATATCTCATGTATGTAAAAATATAAGGAAGACCAGTCTAATTATTTGGTTTCATGATGTGATCAATCGATTAAAGCAAACAACTGATCACCGGCCTTCATGAAACCAACAAATCTGACGATAGTTATTCCTAATTTTTACATGCTAGCTCTTGATTTCGCAAATTCACATGCTACAAGCCCTGCTTCTGTCTCTATTTGTCCCGCCCCGCACGTGATTTTTTTAAACACGCCTATCGATGAACCATTGTAGTACAGTATCTAGGAAAAAAATCTTAAGGAAATGTCCCTGTGCAGAATAAATTTCTTTTTGCAGAGCAAGCATTTATTTGTTATCTGTTACTGTGTTAAGGAGATACATGTACGAAACTTACCTTATACCTACTGTTTATTTTTCAAGATAGTCTTAAGGTGTAACATCCCTCTGAAAAGAGAGATAACTTTCTGTGGACATTTTTCCATAAAATTCAATAAATTGATTGCAGAGTTTATTAATGAGGACCATTTCATAGTCAACTTATTCAAATATGATCTATAACTATGCCCTCCTTCGAAGAAGGGAAGGCATATTGCTTTGCTGCTGTCTGTCTGTCGGTCCACTTAGTTTCCATTCATTTTATTTGCAACCATTTATCATACTGAAATGAAATTTGGTATACAGATATATCATATGAATATCTAGGTCAAGTTCTGTTCTGGGTACGGTCGCACCATTTTTGACAGAGTTATGCCCCTTGGAAAAATTTCAATTATTTGCAGTTTCCATTCATTTCCTTCGCAACCGTTGTACAAACTGAAATGAAATTTGGTATACAGATATATCACATGAATATCTAGGTCAAGTTCAGTTCTGCGTACAGTCCCACCATTTTTGACAGAGTTATGCCCCTTGGACTTACAAAAAACTTCAATTATTTGCAGTTTCCGTTCATTTTCTTCACAACCGTTGTACATACTGAAATAAAATTTAGGGTACAGATTTATCAGATGAATATCTAGGTCAAGTTCTGTTTTTGGTACGATTGCGCCATTTTTTATAGAGTTATGCCCCTTGGACTTAGAAAAAATTCCAATTAATTGCAGTTTCCTTTCATTTTCTTTGCAGAGGTTGCACATACTGAAATGATATTTGGTATACAGATTTATCAGATAAATATCTTGGTCAAGTTCTGTTTTGGGTACAATCCCGCCATTTTTGACAGAGTTATGCCCTTTTGGACTTGGAAAAATTCCAATTTGGGGGGAGGGGGGCATAAGTGTTTTACAAACATCTCTTATTGATAATGCATGTGTTTATTTCTAGTTTCGATTCCTAATATTATACTTAATTATTTATGATGTATAGCCTTTATTTCCACTCCCACTCCCTTTCCACTCCCTCACTCTCCCCACTCCCACTCTCCCCACTCCCTCTCCTAACCACTCTCTCCACTCCCTTTCTCCCCACTCTCCACAATAATACTTGATTATTTATGATGTATAGCCTTTAAACTGTGAAAATTGATACATTTCCACTCCCACTCCCTTCCCACTCCCTCACTCTCCCCACTCCCTCTCTTTCCCACTCTCCCAACTCCCTCTCTCCCCACTCTCTCTCCTTCCCACTCTCCCCACTCCCTCTCTCCCCATTCCCTCTCTCCAATTCCTCTCTTCTACTCCTCCAACTTCCTCTCTTTCCCATTCTCCCCACTCCTTCTCTCTCATTCTCTTTCCCACTCCCTCTCTTTTTCACTCTCCCTACTCCCTTTCTCTCCCCACTCCCTCTCCTTCCCACTCTTACCACTACCTCTCTCCAACTCCTTTCTACTCCTCCCACTTCCTCTCTTTCCCATTCTCCCCACTCCCTCTCTTTACCACTGCCTCTCTCTCCCAATCTCCCCATTCCCTCTCTCTCTCACTCACCCCACTCCCTCTCTCTCCAACTCCCTTCCCATTTCCTCTCTCTCCCTCTACTCTCTCCCACTCTCCCTCTTCCTCCCTCTCTCCCACTCCCTGTCTCTCCCACACTCCCTACTCCCTCTCTTTCCTCACTCCCTCTCACTCTCCCCACTCCCTCTCTCCCATTCTCCCCACTCCCTCACTCTCCCCACTCCCACTTTCCCACTTCCTCTCTCTCTCTCTCCCACTCTTCCTCTCCCTCTCTCCCACTCCTCTCTCCCTTTAACTCCCACTCTCCCCACTCCCTCTCACTCTCCCAACTCTGTCTCTTCTACTTTCCCATTCTCCCCACTCCAACTCTCTCTCCCCATTCCCTTTCACTCTCCCAAATCCCTCTTTTTCCCACTCTCCCCACTCCCTCTCTTCCTTTCTCCCCACTAACTCACTCTCCCCACTCCTACTTTCCACACTTCCTCTCTCTCCCACTCTCCCAGCTACCTCTCTCCCACTCCCACTCTCCCTACTCCCTCTTTTCTACTTTCCCACTGCCCCCACTCCCACTCCCTCTCTCTCCAACTCTATCCACTCCCTCATCTCCATGCTCCCTTTCTCTCCCACTCCCTTTCTTTCTCTCTCTCTCTCCCTCTCTCCCTCACTCTCTCTCCCCACTCCTCTCTCCTACTCTCCACTCTCTCCTCACTCCCTCTCTCTCCCACTCCCTTTCTCTCCCACTCCCACTCTCCCCACTCCATCCCATTCTCCCAACTTCTCTCTCCCCACTCCCTCCCTCCCACTCCCTTTCTCCCCCACTCTCCTTACTCCCTCTCACCCACTCACTCCCTCCCTTTCTCTCTCCCTCCCACTCTCCTCACACCCACTTCCTCCCACTCTCCCACTCCCTCACACCCACTCTCCCCACTCCCTCTCTCCTTCCCATTCTCCCCACTCCCTCTCACCCACTCCCTCCCTCTCTCTCCCATTCTCACCACTCTCCTCCCTCCGACTATCCCCACTCCCTCACACCCACTCTCCCCACTCCCTCCCTCTCTCTCCCACTCTCACTCCCACTCCCTCTCTCCCACTCCCTCATTCTCTCTCCCATTCTCCCCACTCCCTTTCCTCTCTCTCCCCACTTCCTCTCTCTCCCACTCCCTATCTCCCATTCTCTCCCACTCTCCCCACTCCCTCTCTCCATCCCAATCCCACTCCCTTTCTCCCCACTCCCACTCCCTCTCCTCTCTCTCTCTCCCCACTCCTCTCTCTCTCTCACTCCCTCTCTCCCCCACTCTCTCCCATTCCCACACTCTCCCATTCTCCCCACTCCCTCTCCTCTCTCTCACCCACTTCCTCTCTCCCCACTCTCTCTCTCCCACTCCCTCTCTCCTACTCTCTCTCTCCTCTCTCTCTCTCTCCCTCTCTCTCTCTCACACACACTCCCTCTCCCCACTCTCTCTCTCTCCCTCTCTCATTCTCCACACTCCCTCACTCTCTCTCTCCCCACTTCCTCTCTCTCCCACTCCCTATCTCCCATTCTCTCCCACTCTCCCCACTCCCTCTCTCCTTCCCATTCCCAATCTTTTTCTCCCAACTCCCACTCCCTCTCCTCTCTCTTTCCCCACTCCTCTCTCTCTCTCTCCCTCTCTCCCATTCTCACCACTCCCACTCCCTCTCTCCCACTCTCCCCACTCCCTCCCATTCCCTCTCTCCCATTCTCCCTACTCCCTCTCCTCTCTCTCTCCCCACTTCCTCTCCTCTCTCTCCCCACTTCCTCTCTCTCCCACTCCCTATCTCCCATTCTCTCTCTCACTGCCATTCCCACTCCCTTTCTCCCATTCTCCCCACTCCCACTCCCTCTCCTCTCTCTCTCTCCCCACTCCTCTCTCTCTCAACTCCTCCACTCCCTCCCATTCCCACTATCTCTCTCCCATTCTCCCCACTCCCTCTCCTCTCTCTCTCCCTACTTCCTCTCTCTTCCACTCCCTATCTCCCACTCTCCCCACTCCCTCTCTCCCTCCCATTCCCAATCTCTTTCTCCCAACTCCCACTCCCTCTCCTCTCTCTCTCCCCACTCTCTCTCTCTCTCACTCCCTCTCTCCCATTCTCCCCACTCCCACTCCCTCTCCTCTCTCACTCTCCCTTCTACTCTCTCTACGTCCCATTCCCTATCTCTTTCTCACTTCTCCATATCCCTCTCCTCTCTCTCTCCCCACTCTCTCACTTCCTCCTCCCACTCCCTATCTCCCACTCTCACCCCACTCCCTCTCTCCCTCCCATTCCCACTCCCTTTCTCCCATTCTCCCCAATCCCAGTCCTCTCTCTCTCCCCCACTCCTCTCTCTCTCTCTCTCACTCCCTCTCTCCCATTCTCCCCACTCCCACTCCCTCTCTCCCACTCTCCCCACTCCCTCCCATTCCCACTCCCTCTCTCCCATTCTCCCCACTCCCTTTCCTCTCTCTCCCCACTTCCTCTCTCTCCCACTCCCACACACTCTCTCTCCCTCCCATTCCCACTCCCTTTCTCTCATTCTCCCCACTCCCACTCCCTCTCCTCTCTCTCTCACTCCTCTCACTCATTCTCTCACTCCCAACTCCCACACTCTCCTCTCTCTCTCTCCTCTCTCTCTCTCTCACACTCTCCCATTCACACTCCCTCTCTCACACTCTCCCCACTCCCTCCCTCCCACTCCTCTCTCCCATTCTCCCACTCCCTCTCTCTCTCTCTCTCTCTCTCTCCCCACTCTCTCTCTCTCTCTCTCTCTCTCTCTCTCTCTCTCACTCTCCCACTCCCTCTCTCTCTCTCTCTCTCTCTCTCTCTCTCTCTCTCTCTCTCTCTCTCTCACTCCCTCTCTCTCTCCCCACTCCCTCCCATTCCCACTCCCTCTCTCCCATTCTCCCCACTCCCTCTCCTCTCTCTCTCCCCACTTCCTCTCCTCTCTCTCTCCCCACTCTCCCTCTCTCCCACTCTCCCCACTCTCTCACTCTTCATACTCCCTTTCTCTCCCCACTCCCTCTCTCTCCCACTCTCTCTCTTCCCACTCCCTCTCTCTTGCACTCCCTTCCCACTCCCTCTTTTTCCCACTTCCTTAATAATAAAGATTAATAAAAAACATCCAAAAATTATTATGAAATGCTTTATTCTTATCATTTTATTTAAATTAGTTTTAAGTTTTAGCAGAATTGTATATTTATGCCAAAAAAATGAATGTATCTTAAAATTATAACTTTAAACTTCACAAAATACTGCTTCCCAGCTGTGCTCAATTTTTACATTCTTGCTTTAATAACAACATTTATATGCTTACTACCATGCACGTTTGTTTAATGGCTTTGTTATCTTTGTGAAGTCTTTGATGAAAAAAAGCACTTTTAGGTGAAAATTTTAACCTGAGGTACTGGAATACCTTTTCTTATCTCGATCTCTACAAGTTCTTCAAATGTTCTTAAAAATATTAATAAATCAATAGATCATAAATTAATTAATAAATTATTACAAATAGATGTAACACTGATGCTGAGATGTAAATTCTTTAAACAATCCTTGATTATTTTTAACAGGTTCCTGGGCATTGACCAATCCAAATGAAATCCTATTGTTTCTCATCCTTCAGTTGTTGTACCTCAGCTGTTAGCTTGCCTGTAACATTCATTTGACTTCATCCATTTCAGATGTGGGATTTCCTTTATATATTGCACTCATCACACTTGAAACCTTACTTCTTAGCTTCTCAGAAAGCATCATGGCGCAGCATGTCATCTTCTATTTCACTGCTATTTCTTCCTCTTGGAGGACTGTTTTACTGATAATGTTTTCAGGCCGACAACCCCACTCTGATACAGTCTCATTTTGTCCTTGTTCTGCACTGTAGAATTTTCCTAATACAGAATGTACATGTACTCTTTGGATGCTTTCAATTGTATCAAAACAAGACATAATTGTGAAACACTTACTATCCCCCCACCCCCGGAAATTAATTATAGGATTCACAAAGAAAGTAAAATGATTGGAAATTTTAAGTCCAAAGGGCATAACTCTGTCAGAAATTGCTCAATTGTACCAAAAAAAGAATTTGACCTGTGATAAATCTGTATACCAAATTTCATTTCAGTATAGAGTTGATCTTGAGAATGATACTGTCAATGGTCACTAGGACACCCAGTCTTATGATAACATTAGCTGCTTCTCGTTCACTGATCTTAGAATGGCTGTAGGATTTGGTCTTCTCTGTACAGCTTTCCTTTTGCTGGACACTGGACTTCGTAATGCATAGTTCATAGGATGTTTCTTATGAATGTTAAAATTTTTGGTAATTCTGCGTAGTGCTTTATAACATCAGTTTGAATTTCAGATTCAGTTTTCACTGTTGGTATTTTAGGTATAATGATCCAGTGCATGTACCAGCAAATCTTTGTGGCCATGTGTGAAGATCCTGAGGTGTATCTGCCTTGGGTTTCAACTTCAAGGCTTTAGAAGAATTAATTGATGATGTCCTTGGCTTCTTCTGAAATATCATCTCCCATAATGAACTTTTCCAAAAATACACAATTCTAGACAGAATTTGAATTTCCAATGTAGTAAATCACTTCAATAGTTCACTCACATGAATCACTTGAATTGAACTCAAGATATTTCATCGATTTCAGAAATTCACTTTTCACATCCCAAAATGTATTGTATCACTTTGATTAACATCACAAATATCTTATACATGATTTATAATGATAAACTGTTTGTTTTGTATATACCTGCTAGAATGTCAAAATAACATCTAAAAATCAAATGAAATATACTTGAAAACAACAGGCCCAGGGGTCACATTGCTCACCTGAGCACTTTGGCTAAGAAAAAGCAGAAATCAGTTTAGTACTGCAAAATTTCAATATTAAAGTGGTTCGGAGAGGTATGATTTGAACAAACTTAAAATCTTCACTTCCTAAGGATCATTCTTTTCAAGTAAAATATGACATATGATGGCTTTGCTGTTCTTAAGAAGAAAATTTTATCAATGTATTCTTTGTATTCCTTAGTAAAACTATGATCCCCTGGTATTAGCCTCTCTCTTCTCCCAGAGGGTTATGATTTGATCAAATTTAAATCACTATAACATTATAATTTGCTTTTATATTATTTGTGACTAGTCATGGCTTTGTTGCTATTGTGAAGAATTTTAAAGGTTTTTTTCTTATTTTTGCTTTGATACCCCATTGTACCCCACAGGCTACCCCCCGTGGGTCATGATTTGAAAAAAAAAACTGGAATCTACACTATCTGAGGATGCTTCCATATCAATATGTCTAATCATGACTTTGATGTTCTTGAGAAAAAAATTAAAGAGTGTTTTTTCCTTTATGTTTTCAATGTAAAACCTAGATGCTCCATGCATGTAGCTACATCTTACCCCTAAGATTATGATTTGAACAAATTTTGAATCTACACTACCTTACAATGATTCCACATAAGTTTCATATTTTCAAGCATTATAGCTGTTCTTGAGAAAAAGATTTTTAAATGATGCCATTAATTGTTCACAAAATCATATGAATAATCTCCCCTTGGAGAAAAGAGAATCATTTGAAAAAAACTGAAAATCCACTTCATCCACTTCATCCAAAGATAAATTGTGGCAAAGTTTGTTGAAATTGGACCAGTGGTTCTTGAGAAGAAGATGGAAATGTGAAACGTTTACAATGGTGATGATGACAATAATGACAGACAATGGACAAAGAGCTGGGTTCACTTTATGCATAAAATGGCCCTGTAGATATACCAATTGATTGATTAATACTTTATGTTCCATTTGAAGCATTAAAATAAGATAGAGACTTCAAGTGCTTTCATCTCCTATTAAATTTTTTCTCCTAAACATCAAGGTCTGGGAGAACTGACTTTATGAAATTGCAATGTTCTTAATTGAATTTTTAGGTAAACAGGTATATTTTGAGTACTTTCAGTGAAGAAGAATAAAATGAGCGCACTCTCTGATCTAAATAATAAAACACATCTTTTAATCCTCAGAAACACATGCAGTTTTATCATTTACTAGTTGCACATTTTAGATCAGAGTTTGTGCTCTATATCAAATATCGCAAAATAGCTTTAGAAATTGACCGTTTTTGTAGACAGTTTTTTCAGAATATGAGGAAAATGATGCATTTGTGATGTCATAATGCATTGACTAGCCAAAAAATTATGTTATTTTTGATACATACGCAATCACCAAAGATCTAAGTCATATTTAATGCATTATAAATAGGGATGTCAACGAGTATCCAGTTAAACAGGTACTTGATCGAACGTCTGAGTATCAAATATTAAAAACTGGTAATCGGTTACTCGGATGTATATATTTTTTTCTTCTTCCATAGGACATATTTTTATCAAAAAACATCAAAAAATAACTTAAATGTGCATACGATAATAAGAGTGCCGTAGTCTACACCTGTAAAACACCTGTTATCGCCTGTGGCTGTGTATACTAGTATATAGTAATTAGTGACCAATCACCTGCTTTTCTCACCTTTTGCTGTCCTTAATTTTTGGATGGCTTCAATGATTTGTTTTCATTGAGGATCCTTTAAGTATGTTCTGTTATCTTTAAATCATTTTTGAATTATTTAGTACATGTACATGTAAATGGTACCGAAATCCGACATGCATAGGTATGCCGCTATTGACTTAAAAATGTAAAGAAATATCTTGGTAGTACATGTAATTGAAAATTGAAAAAATGTTTAAAGTGAGCTATGCCAGTAAATTTAGTGTATTATTACTATATACCAGGGGGATACAATAATAATATTTGACAGGTGTTCCAACAACGTCCGTTCCTTCTGCTTCACTACTGCTATCAT